CAACGTCGGCCAGCAACTATCGATAAAACGCAAGCTCAGACCCCGAAACAAGCGTGCGATGGGTACCCCTGGCTGGCGCTACCCAGATGCAATCAAAGGTCCTGACGGACTGATACAACGTGGATCTGGAGATACATGCCAAGCGATCCGTGTCCCATCAACGATGCTCCGTCTAAGTCAAATGGCCATGCGTCTCCTCCTGTAACAAGAAGAAGAACCAACGGCATAAACATAAGCATTCGGAGATCCACGAGGATGTCTTAAGTCGACCCTCGAATACACTCCCTCGAATCTGCCAGGGGGGGCAGCGCCGATCCAAGAAATCCGCGCGGGCGTCCGAAAGTTTACGTGCATGCAACATGTGCCCTACGAAATGAAACAGCGCAATCTGGCAGAAGCTCGAATGTAGTTTCTACATACTCCTCGACAACAATCCTAATCCTCACATGCATCAGCTCCGAGGCGGCTGCATCTGTGCTGTCCAGCAGGACCTCAACCACCAGGGTGCAGCGGCATCGAAACAGCCATGTCTCCGTCCCAAATGGCTCGAAACGCAAACACGCCAAGTACTGTTGCTCACACGACGGTGTAGCGCAGGCGGATGTACGGGACACCACTCCCAAGGACGGGTCTGAACGAACGAGGATCGGGACGGACGGTGGTGCGGAGCAAACGTGGTGGCGCTTGAGCTGCCCATGCTTGTCCTTGTACGCTTCCTTCCCATCATCCATATCTTTGTTCCTCCTATACCCACCTACCTTCTCGTTCCATCGATACCCGCTTACACACGACCACTCCTCGGGTGATAAGGAGGTTGTGGGGAGGGGGAAAGGGGGGTGAACCAACATCTGACTCAATCGATCTCACTATCGATCTCACTCAACGGGTCACCACGGGACACTTGTCGATCTCACTATCGAACTCACTATCGATCTCACTCAACGGGACACCACGGGCCACCACGGGCCACCACGGGACACCACGGGACACCGCGGGACACCTCTCGAACTCACTATCGGTCTGATTATCGATCTCACTATCGATCTCACTCAACGGGACACCACAGGACACCACAGGACACCACGGGACACCACGGGACACCACGGGGCACCTCGGGACACCACATCGGTCTCACTATCGATCTCACTATCGATCTCACTATCGATCTTACTCAACGGGACACCACGGGAAACCAAGGGAAACCTGTCGATCTCACTATCGATCTCACTATCGATCTCACTTTTGGGGACACCACGGGAAACCACGGGACACCTCGGAGCACCACATCGATCTCAGTATCGATCTCACTATCGATCTCACTCAACGGGACGGCACGGGACACAACGGGACACCTGTCGATCTCACTATCGATCTCACTTTTTGGACCACCACGGGACACCACGGATCACCTTCGGGCACCGCATCGATCTCAATATCGATCTCAGTATCGATCTCACTATCGATCTCACTCAACGGGACACAACGGGACACCACAGGACACCGCGGGACACCGCGAGCCACCGCCAGACGGACGGACGGACGGGCGGGCCGGGGAGAATCATTTTCCTCGACTTCGCCCTAGCGACGGCGGACACCACGGGACACCACGGGACACCACGCGATACCGCAGGACACCGCGAGCCACCGCCGGACGGGCGGGAGGGGGGAGAATCAGTTGTCTTGACTTCGCCCTAGCAACGGCGGGTTCATTCCTCTCGCGCGCCCACACAGCTTCGCCTCGCCCGCGCGCACGACACGAACGAAACGAAACGATTTCCCCGTTGGGGGTCTCCGTTCCACTGCGATCCCAACCCCCAACCTCCGACCTTGAGCAGCAGTCTCCAAAATTGTCATCCGAACCTTTTTGCCGCGGGGATCTGCTCGACACCCGAGCGCAGCGGTCACAATCGTGCAATCGCCGCTCTACTGCTCTACGGCCGTGCAGACGGAAGGAAGACCCGGCGAGATGAGATCGAGCCAACCCTCCTCCGAACATACCACGGGCGAGCGCGACAGGAGCAAGGAAGAGGGGGAAAGCGGGAGGCGGGAGGACAAGACCACGAACATCTTCTACACCGCGGCGGACAAATCGCTGACACGGCCAGGTGAGAGCGGCCGCCCGCTGGCTGCGTGGGTCTGCTCACAGAGGCCTCACACATGGGGTCCGAGTAGATGGGGTCGGAGGATCGCACCACATCACCAATGTCGGCGATGCCTCGGCGACGTGGGCTAGAAACGATCAGGCTCCACATCGAGCCGCATGGCCGATGAATCGGCGATGCGGCGCGATCTTCTCGCCCAATATACTCGGACGCCATCTGCGAGGCCTCGAGCTCAACTTTCCGAACGGACCACCCCATCAACACGCCGCAGCGCCCGTCACAGAGAACATCGCTCGAGCAGCTCGGCGAGCCTGTCGCGCTGCGTCGGCCACGAGCTCGATGAAGGACACGGGGCGCCCGGTGGACGCGCCTGGCACATCCCCGCGGCATGGCCGAGCCCCGACCGCATCGTGCTGCAGGAGTGCTGGTGTGGCACCGGCCAAGAGCGGAACGTGAAACGCTGGGCGATCGCCATGCTCGCGGAGGTGGCGCCGCCCGACCACGATCGAGCAGCTCAGCGAGCCCGGCGCGCCGCGGCGGCCCGGCAGACGGCGACCAACCGCACCTTGCTAGCCGCGGCCGAGAGGGCCGCCGAGGCCTACTTTGCCTACTTTCGGGTGCGCGCCAGGGGGGGTGCAAGGTATGGCCTCAGGAACGACGTCTGACGGCTACCGTGCTGGAGCGTTCGGAAAGCCTGGCGACTTGACACGGAGAGCTCGAGAGGCACTGGCACGGGACAAACTGACGTCTCACTCGTGCATCCACCGTCCTGCGGAGCCTTGCCACCGGCTTCTGGCGAAGAGAACACACGCCCGAGCCGACTGGCCTTTCTTTGATGCGCTCGACATTCCGTCATGAAGCGTGTCGTGCTGTCGTGGCGGGCGGTTGCCCTGCTCGGTCGGCCTATGCATGACGACGAAATCAGAAATATATGAAATCCCGGCTAGCAATTGCTCCCACAGGCACGATCTTACAGACCCCCGTGACTGTCGCCTGTCGGAAAGTTTGACTGCTTTACATCCCCTCAGGCAGGCCAAGGGGGACGGATCCATCCACTCTACACCGCAGCGCCCTGCACAGGCCCGCATGGCCCCGAAGCGCGCCTGGTACCAAGACGCCAACCAGTCCGACGCTAACCCATGTGGTTCACAACTGCGCGTTCGTTAAAAACGCAAGACAGAGAGGAATCGAATCAACCAGCGTATGCTGCGTATTGTATTCTACACTTCATGATAAGCACCCTGAAGTAGATCGGCGAGCAGACTGCCCCATCTGTCCTCCGAACAAAAGGACCGTGCATCAGCTCGCCTGTCCTAGGCATGGGGACGCAAGCAGAAGTGTTAGGTCGGGCCTGCCCCCGTCCAGGGGGATTTTGGGGCGAAAAATGAAAAATACTCAAAAACTATTCTCCAAAAATGCTCAAAAATAGTCAAACATCATCCCCAGACTATTTTTTTGACGACGTTGAACTACTCCTCCTATAGAGGGGCAGGCCCGCCTTAACAGAAGTGCTCCAGGCCCACGGCTGGGAGCTGGCTCAAAAAAAGTGCTCCGGCGGGCGCCGCAGGCCCCGGCCCGACCTCCTCGTGCAGGCCAGGCCCCAGGGGCAGCCGCATGGTCGACGCCCTCCGCCCCGCCCCGGACTTCGGGCACGGCTTCCCGCCGCAGACACCCATCGGTCGGAAGAAGTAGGTAGAAACAGAAAGTAGGAAGGCGTTGGAAATGGAGTGGGTTTCCACCCGCCTCCTGAAGAGGAAGGAAGAGGGAAAACCACTCGACTCTTGAAGTAGGAAGGCGCTGAAAGTAGATTGGAATCTGGGAATCCAAGAATACCTACTTCCAACGACCGATGGGTACTTGACTGCCTCTGCAGGCGCGGGTCCAGCTCTCCGCGCTCCAAAACACTTGACGACAAGCCAGTCCTTCCACTCCTGAACCAAGGGGTTTTACTCCTCCCCTTTCCACCTTCCGTTAAACCTGGACGGACCGGGCCGCGGGTCGTCAGAGCGTCCAAGGTGGCCTCGGCGAGAAAGCCAAAATCAATGTTTTGTGGCAAGATGTTGGCCACATGTTGGCATCCTGGGGGGGGGGGCCTCATGTACTACGGTCCCTCTTTTGATCGATCTTCTCCAAGACGACCCAAGGACGGTTCCCGAAACTCCAAAGGGTGCTCCAAGACGGCCCCAAGAGGGGCCCAGGAGGCTCCAAGAGATCCCCAATAGACCCAACAGAGACACCCAAGACACCCCAAAGAGGCTCGGCGAGAAAGCCGAAGTCAATGCTTTCATGCAGGTTTGGGTCACACGTTTGCCTCGGGAAGGGAAGAAATGAAAGAGCATTCCTCTTATCATCGATCTTCTCCATGACGGCCCCAAGCTGGCCCCCGAGGCTCCAAAGGGTGCTCCAAGACGGCCCCAAGAGGGGCCCAGGAGGCCCCAAGAGGCCCCCAAAATGTCACCAAGAGGCTGGGTGGTCAGGGTCGGCTGCACCATGTGTTGCGGCCCTCGACGCCCTCCAAGGGTGCGGTGGGTTCGGTCCCGCTTGGTTGGTAAGCATTGAATCGTGCCAGACGACCAGAAACTCGGAGACGAGCTGCCTCCTGCGCTCAACCCCCCAGGATCCCTCAGCCCGCAAGTAGCCTCGACAACGCTCGTGAGACAGCGCCCAGGCAGTTTACCGCAAGCAGGCGTGGCTGCCCGTCTGCGGAGTTCCTGGACGCTGCCTGGAGCTAGCCCCCGAACCCGGTGGCCAGCAGAGCCTTGAAGCAGTGCTACGACGACTGCGAGGATGCCTGGGAGGACGGGGAGGACCAGGAGGACGAGGGGGGCGAGAGAGGGGAACGCGGAAGGGGTGGGGGGGGGGGGCGCAGAGCAAGGACGAGGAGGACGGGGGGGGGGGAACGAGGAGCGAGGAGGACGGGGGGCACGAGCGGGGGGCGAAGGGGCCCGAGGGCGGGAGGCTCCGAGGGCCGCAACGCTGACAGGTGCGCCCGCCGCGCGAAGGGGGGCCCGCGCGGCGGAGGGGGGCGCCCGGGCCCCGGTGGCTAGTGGGCGGGCGCGGAAGCCGTCATCGCGCTGCGGCCGCCTGCGGGGGCGCCCGGCCCGCGGGGAGGGCTCCGGAGCCCCGAGACGGTGCGGCGACGGACCGTGCGGTGGCCTCGAGGTCCCCCACAAGACAGCACCGCGCGGTGCGTCACCGCACGGTCTCTTGGGGCACCGGAGGCCCCATGTCGCCCGAGGCGTCCTCGGAGAGAGAAGCCCTCGAGAGTCCCAAAACCGTGCGGTGGCCCCGAATCCCCACCGGCTCACCACACGGTGTGGTCACCACCCCGTCTGGGGGCCCCCGAAGGGCGGGGGAGCGAGCGGCAGGGAACAGGGATGGGGCCTGCGAGAGTCCGTCTGCTGCTGCCACTCTCCTGCAAGCCACTGCGTGTCGAGAGAAGCGGCAGGGGGGGGGAAAGAAGGAAGGGGAGGAAAGGGAAAGGAGGGCCTCGGAAGGGGGCCACGATCCGCGCTCACACATCCACGAGCCCCGCAATAAAGAATGGATCCGCACTCCCGAGCTTCCAAGACGGACGAAGCATGCCACCAAGACCTCCAAGCCCAAGATGGCCTCAAGACGGCGCAAGAGCCCCCCAAGACGGCCCAAGAGGGCGCCACGAGGATCACACATGTTTCTGCAGAAATCAAAGTCAGTAATGCCAACTGGCTCTTGATACATTTTGGCGTCCTCCTCTTATCAGGCTTCCTTTAGCTTCAGACGGCACTGGAGACCTCCGAGTGGCCACAAGACGGCCCAAGAGGGTCCCACCAATGGCACAACAATCCTCCAAGCCTGCCCCAGGACAGCCCAAGAGGGCCCCGAGACGGCCCAGGACGGCCCCAAGAGAGCCTCAAGCTGGCCCAAGAGGGCCTCTGGATAGACACAAGACGGCCTCAAAGGCCCATCGACGGCCAAAGGCGGTCACAAGACGGCCTCAAGAGACATCCCAGACAGCCGGGAGGGCCCGAAGACGGCCCAAGTTAGCGCCCCCCCGAGACGGCCCAGGATGGCTCAGAGAGAAGGCCACGAGAGGGGGGGGGGGGGGGGACTCACATTTCGGGCCCTCCGCCCCGAGACGACCCTCGAGACCAGCAGGCCCCTGAGAGGCCCCCAAGAAGCCCCAGGCCCACAAGAAGCCCGAAGGCCCCGAGAGGCCCCCCCGAGAGGCCTCCCAAAAGAACCCCAGGCATCCGAGAGGCCTCTGACTTACAACCCAGACACTGTGGCGGGATGGGCCGCAAGACACTACATACATCTCAAACAACGGCAATTGTGCCCATGGGCACCCAATGAACATGCATTTGCAAGTGCGCATGGTGAGACTCGCGTTTTGTATCCTGCGACGCCCTACAGGGCCCCCTGTGGTGCCCATGAGTTCTTGTTCCGTTTATGGTGAAGATGCGTACTCCAAATCCCTCATTAATCGTCCCCCGGGTGCGGTTTTTGAATGTCCCTTTTTTGTTACTGGGGGGGTCCGGTTTGTTAGGGCGCCTTCTTTGGATTGGAGCTTAGGGGGTCTGGTTCATTAAGGCGCCCCGTCGAAGAGGGGGGTCTGGAAGATTAGGTCGCATTTAGAGGGGGGTCCAGTTTTAGGGGGGGTCGATTGGTAAGGGATTTGGAGTGTGGTGAGTCCCCCGATGAGTTTCAACAAAAGGACCTGTTGGCTCAGGAGCGGGGGCGCAATGGAGCGCAGATGGGGCTGCGAGCGCACATGGGGATGCCAGACCTTGCGACGAGTGTGGCGTCATTCGGGGAACCCACATAGGACGTGCGCGCCAAGCTATGTGCATGAGCACGGCCCCTCGATCCGCGAGCCTGGCCGCGTGATACGAACACTTGCGCAATGCGTACTCTCGAAGCCAGCGTATATTCATGTACGTGAACGTCCTTCGGTTGCTCCTGACAGTTGGGGTTCCACATCTTCGATGACCGTTGCAAAGAAGCGGCGGGGAGCCACCGACGGACTGGCCGCAGCTCGTGATCAGACTATGCGTGGAGAAGGGACAGTGCAGGCATGGAGGATCAAAGCTTCGGCCAGAATGGAGAATTACACTTCAAGCCATTGGCACCAGATGGTGTTGCAAGAACTGTGAGCGATAGCATGTAAACCATTATGGATTGAACACGGCTTATGTTACACTGTTGAACCTCAACTGTGTGTTAGGACCCTGGCGTTGCATTCTGCGAGAGGGGGTGCGTCCGATAATCGGAATGTTGAGGATGTCCCACGCGAAACGTTTAGAACCAGCTCGGACGGTTACGCAGTAAGCGCATCTGAGCTCCACTCCCCCGGAGAGGTGCGTATGAGAAATAGATACACACATGTATTCAACTATTGATTACCTGACCGTCCCCGTACTACTGGACGTGTTGCAAGTGGGCCCGCCCTGGATGTCCCTTGGGACCGCCACGAGGCCGTCTGGGAGTCCTGTCGGGCCGTCTTGGGGCCCTCGTGGGCAGTCTCGGGCCTCTGGGCCTTCTTGGGAGCCTCTTGGGGCAGTCTGAAGTCCTACACCGCGTTGGGGATGTCGTCGGCTGTGCGGAGACCTTCCAGGGACCCTCGTGCGGCGCCGCGGGGCCCTCGTGAACCATATCGGGTCCATCGGTCCCTTTTCTCACTCACAGGTCCAGAGCAACATCGTTCACAGTGTCACAGTGGTCGTGAGCTTGGTCGTGCTGAAGCTCTCGCGAGTTCTGCTCGCAGCGGGCGGGCTCCAACCAGTTGAGACACCACCGACATGGGGCTCTCGCCAGAAACGGAGATTCTGCCTTTGATTGGGTCTTGCTGGACAGATTGTTGGCTGAGCTCAAAAGAGGACCCGCCTCGCAAGTCTAAAGATGCGCCGGATACTGTCATTCGGCGACGAGCTCGGCACTCCTGGCAGCGCATAATCAGAGCTTCAATCACACACACACACACACACAAACTCCGAGCAGAATGCAATTGCCGCGGCCGTAAGCTCATGGGCGCCAGATTCGGTGGCCGTGGACCTTTGCGAACATGTTGTTATGGGGAAACCAAATGCTCAATGTCTGCCCACGTGCCGTCCAAGAGTTTCCAGGCATCGGCCGCAAAAATTATCCTGGCGAAGGACCCAACCATGTGCAGTTGTGGGTAACGCAATTGTGAATATCTTCTTCGGTGCAGCTCCCTATGGGGCCACGGAGCGCTGCACTGGGTGGGGGGGAACGCATGCGGGCGGTAGCACTGGGGCCGTCGGTGGAGCTCCCTATGGGGCCACGAAACGCTGTATCGGGTGGGAGGGACGAATGCTGGCGGTAGCACCGGGGCCTTCGGTGAAGCTCCCTATGGGGCCACGAAGCGCTGTACTGGGTTTTGGGGACGCATGCGGGCGGTAGCACTGGGGCCGTCGGTGGAGCTCCCTACGGGGCCACGAAACGCTGCACTGGGTGTGGGGAACCATGCGGGCGGTAGCACTGGGAGCTTCGGTGGAGCTCCCTATGGGGCCACGAAACGCTGTACTGGGTGAGTGAAAATGCCACATTGGGTTTCCGGGACGCATGCGGGCGGTAGCACTGGGAGCTTCGGTAGAGCTCCCTATGGGCCACAGAAATGCTGTATTGGGTGGGTGAAAATGCCACATTGGGCTTCTGGGACGCATGCGGGTGGTCCCACTGCGAGCTTCCGTGGAGCAGCTTATGGGGCCACGAAGCGCTGTACTGGGCAAGTGAAAAAACAAATTGGGTTTCCGGGACGCATGCGGGCGGTCCCACTGGAGGTTTCGGTGGAGCTCCCTCTGGGGCCACGAAACGCTGTTCTGAGCAGGGCAAAATGCGAAATTGGGTTTCTGGGACGCATGCGGGCGGTCCCACTGGTGGCTTCGGTGGAGCTCCCTCTGGGGCCACGAAACGCTGTTCTGAGTGGGTGGAAATGCCAAATTGGGCTTCCGAGACGCATGCGGGCGGTCCCACTGGTGGCTTCGGTGGAGCTCCCTCTGGGGCCACGAAATCCTGTTCTGAGCAGGTGAAAATGCAAAATTGGGTTTCTGGGACGCATGCGGGCGGTCCCACTGGTGGCTTCGGTGGAGCTCCCTCTGGGGCCACGAAACGCTGTTCTGAGTGGGTGGAAATGCCAAATTGGGCTTCCGAGACGCATGCGGGCGGTCCCACTGGGGGCTTCGGTGGAGCTCCCTCTGGGGCCACGAAACGCTGTACTGGTTGGGTGAAACGCATGGAGGAGGGGAATGAGGGGGAGGAAGGAAGGGAGGGAGGAGGGACGCGGGGACCGTCTTTTCAAAAGGGGACGCGGGAAAAACAGTGAGGTACACGGTGACTGGCCTGCCGACACTGCGGAAGTCGCGGGCTGCACCTTCCCCCTGATATACTGACAACTCGATCTCAGATTTGAGAGCAGTACTACACCATCAGTTGACGACGCCATCGTAAGTCATAGTGGGCACAGGGTCCACAAGGACATCTAGACTACGTATTTCGTTGCACTTTTGATAGATGTCCTGTTGCCTTCCACTATGGTAACACATTGTCGTACTAACGTCTCACGTTCAAAGCTTCTTGTATACGACAGACTATAAAGTGTGTTGTCTGGCGAACCCAACATGATGCAGTGCTGGCGGTGAATGTTGAAATTGTGACCAGCGCGAGGAACGCAATGCCCAGCGCAAGAAGATGGCCAGTGGTCGTAGACGGCTGCAGACTGTGAACACCTGCTGACAGAAAGCTGCTTGATACTTCGTACACTGCCAGTGCGCATGCCTGAAGCCGAGGCGTACCAGAGAACGGGGGGTGCTTCCCAGGCTCGAAGGCAGCCAAGCTGACGGATGCCACCAGAACAGCCCCAACAATCACCAGGGACGTGCCCACGAGGCGCGGCACCGATCGGTGCGGACGCGCGCGAACGTCGCCAGTGGGGCCTTCCTGCGGTGGAGCCCCCTACGGGGCCACGAAACGTGTGAAGGGGTGCACAGAAATGGACGGGGAACCACATGTGATCACAACCACTGGCGTCATCGGTGGAGCTCCCTATGGGGCCACGAAACATGTAGAAGGGGTGCACCGGAATTCGCGGGAAACCGCACGTGATCACGGCCACCCGGGCCTTCGGTTGAGGTCCAGATGGGGCAGAGACACGCTGCACTAGGCTGGGCGGACGCGTGCGAACGTCGCCACTGGGGCCTGCGGTGGAGCTCCCAATGGGACCACGAAGCGCTGTACCGAGTGGGGCGGACGCATGCGACCGTCGCCACTGGGGCTGTCGGTGGAGCCCCCCCCAATGGGGGCCACGAAGCGCTGCACTGGGCGGCGCGGACGCATGCGAACGTCGCCACTGGGGCCTGCGGTGGAGCTCCCTATGGAGCCACGAAGCGTTTGTGGTGTGTGTGTGTGTGTGTGCCAACCTGGTTGAATTGCGAAACCAGAGGCACGCAGAGGAGGAGGGAGGGAGGCGAAAGAGAGAACTGTCTCTTCAAAACGAGGACCCAAAACCAAAGGATGGCCGGGTACAACAATGTTATCATGGCGAAGGGCCCAACCACATGCAGCTGCGATTAATGCAAGGGGGATGAGACGAGGGAGGGAGCAAGCAGACTACGAGTAGCGCGGTATGTTGCCTTTTTCGTCCTCCTCCTCCTCCTCCTCCTCCAGCTCCTCCTCCTCCTCCTCCTTGTTCGCCTCTCTCTTCCTTTCCGCCGATGCCACTGGCGACGTAGGTGGAGCTCCCTGTAGGGTGACGAAACATCAGAGGGATGCGCCGATATGGGCAGGGTACTGCAATTGATCACAGCCGCGGGGGCCTTGGGACGAGCTCCTTAGATTGCCGCGAAACGCGTGAGGTGTACACCGAGACGAGCGGGAAACCGCATGTGATCACAACCACAAGGACCGTGGATGGAACTCCCTGTGGGGCCACGGAACGTGTGAAGGATGCGCCGACATTGGCGGGGAATCGCACGTGATCACAGCCACTCAAGCATTGGGTCGAGCCCCCTACGGGGCCACGAAACGTGTGAAGGGGTGCACAGAAATGGACGGGGAACCACATGTGATCACAACCACTGGCGTCATCGGTGGAGCTCCCTATGGGGCCACGGAACATGTTGAAGGGGTGCACCGAAATTCGCGGGAAACCCCATGTGATCACGGCCACCAGGGCGTCTGGTGGAGCTCCCTGTGGGGCCACAAAACGACTGAGGAGTGCGCCGAAACAGAAGGAGAACCGCATGTTATCACAACCACTGTGGAACTGAAATGAGGGGGGAATCGCATGTGGTCTAAGCCGATTGGGCCTGGGTGGAACTTCGTATAGGGCCAGGAAACGTGTGAGGGGGGGGGCCGACGGTGCGGGATGGGCCCACAACCCAGGCACGGTGGCGGGATGGGCCAAAGGCCAGTACATCTGCCGCCCCCTGTTGATTCATCACACGGGTACTTGGCGTGCTAGACGATTTCGGTTTTGGTTTTGGATTTCTTTCCAGAAAAAGAGCTCCCTCTGGGGCTCCGGCGCGTCCCGCTGGGGTCCCGGGAGGATTGCCCAGATGTGGTTGCAAAGGTTGTTTCTCCAGACGGCTCCAAGACGGCCCAAAATTGCCTCCAAGATGCATCCAAGACGGGCAAGATGGCCTCCAAGACGGCTAAGATTGCCCCAAGATGCCTCCAAGACGGCCCAAGATGCACCCAAGACGGTCTAAGATGGCCTCAAGATGGCCCAAGACGGCCCAAGAGGCCCCAAAGATCCCCCCAAGACTCCTTCAAGACGTCCTCCAGGAGGGCCCGAAGAGGCACAAATCAGAGGTTTCCCTTAAGTTTTTGTTTAAGGATTTTCGCATTTGCTTCTTCTTGGCATTCCGACGTCTGAAGACGGCCCAAGAGGCCCCCAAGATCGCCCCAAGATCGCCCACGAGGTCTCCAAGATGGCCCCAAGACGGCCCAAGAGGCCTCCAAGACGCCCAAGATGGCCTCCAAGACAGCTAAGATGGCCCCAAGATGCATCCCAAACGGCCCAAGATGCACCCAAGACGGCCTCAGATGGCCTCAGAATGCCCAAGAGGCCCCCAAGAGGCCTCCAAGACGGCCCAAGAGGCCTCCAAGACGTCCTCCAGGAGGGCCCGAATAGGCCAACATCAGTGGTTTCCCTTAAGTTTTTGAAGGATTCTCGCATGAGCTTCTTCTTGGCATTCCGACGTCTGAAGACGGCCCAAGAGGCCCCCAAGATTGCACCAAGATCGCCCACGAGGTCTCCAAGACGGTCAAAATGGCCTCCAAGACGGCTAAGATGGCCCCAAGATGTCTCCAAGACGGCCCCAGATGCACCCAAGACGGCCTAAGATGGCCTCAAGATGGCCCCAGACGGCCCAACAGGCCTCCAAGAGGCCTCCAAGACAGCACAGAAGGCGTCCAGGAGGTCTTCCAGGAGAGCCCGAAGAGGCCCAAATCATTGATGTTCCGAAGGTTGTTGAAAGATTTTGGCATTTGCTTCTTCTCGGCATTCCGACGGCTCAAGACTGCGCAAGAGGCCCCCAAGATCGCCCAAGAGGCCTCCAAGATGGCCCCATGACGGCCCAAAAGGCCCCCAAGACGGCCCCAAGAAGCCCCCAGACGGCCCAAGAGGCCTCCAAGACGCCCAAGATGGCCTCTAAGAACTCCTGATATGCCCCAAGAGGGTCCCAAGACGACCCAGACAGGCCCCCAAGACGGCTTCCAACGGCGTCAGACAAGCCAGGAGCCCCCCCAGACTGCCAAAGAGGCCCCAAGACGCCCCCAAAGGCCCCCCAAAACCCTCCAAGAGTTCCCCAGGAAGCTCCCAGGAGGCCCCAAGAGTGCCCCAAGAGGCGCCCAAGAGGCCTCCTCTTCCTCCTCCTCATTATGTTTTCCTCATCCTCCCCCTGCTCCTCGTCTTGCTCCCCCATGCGTTCCCCGAAGTCGTTCCAAACCTACTCGGGGAACAACTGGCCCGATAGCTTGGCCAAGCTCTGGCCCAGCTGTCGGTCACAGAGGTGCTTCCAAAAGGGCAGGGGGTGGCGGTGATTCGCCGTAGGCGCCCTCGATCACTTCCTGTAGTAGGGACCTATGAAGAGGGAACGTGGAGGGAGGGTTCGATCCAACATCGTTGGTGCATCCTGGGTTTGCACTAGTCCTCCTCATGCTCCTCCTCCTGATCCTCCTTGTCCTCCTCCTCGTCCTCCTCCACTTGCTACTCTTCCTCTAACTAGTACGAGTCGCATTATCCGTGCGGATAGTATGGCTATTTGTCTTAGTATAGCTACGATTACACACTATTACCAATATTCATATTACATTGTTTGAAGATGCATTCGAATCGTGCTGGTCCACTTTGCCTTTACACCTATGATATAAGTATTCTGGTAAGTATTTAAGGGTAGTAGTAGTCGTAGTAGTAACAACAGAAGTAGTAGTAGCTAAAACTAGCAATAATGGTAGTAGCAGTCGCCGCAGCCACCGCAGAAGCAGTGGCAGCAGCAGCAGCAGCAGCAGCAGTAGTAGTAGTCGTAGTAATATTAATAGCAGCAGTAGTAGTAGTCGTAGTAGTAGCAGTAGTAGTGACAGCAGTAGTAGTAACAATGCTATGAGTTGTGATAATGACGAAAGCAATTAATAGCATTAGTAGTAGTTGGAATCGTAGTGTCGTGGTAGTAATCGTAATAAGAATAATGACAATAGTAGTAGTAGTAGTAGTAGTAGTAGTAGTAGTAGTAGTAGTAGTAGTAGTAGTAGCGTCGTAGTAGTAGTGCCGTAGTAGTAGTAGTAGTAGTAGTAGTAGTAGCAGTCGTCGTAGTAGCCGTACTAGTAGTAGTAGTAGTAGCAGTAGTAGTAGTAGTAGTAGTAGTAGTAGTAGTAGTAGTAGTAGCAGTAGTAGTAGTAATAAAAGTAGTAGTAGTAGTAGTAGTAGTAGTAGTAGTAGTAGTCGCAGTATTAGTAGTAGTCGTAGCACGAATAGTAGTCGTAGACGAAGTACGAGTGGTAGCAGTAGTCCTAGTAGCAGGTGTTGTTGTAGCAGCGGTAGTAGAAGTGTAGGAGCAGTGGTAACGGTAGAAGTAGTAGTAGTAGCAGTAGTAGTAGTAGTAGTAGGAGGAGTAATGATAGTAGTCGTCGCAGTCGTAGTCGTAGTCGTAGTCGTAGTCGTAGTAGTAGTAGTAGTAGTAGTAGTAGTAGTAGTAGTAGTAGTAGTAGTAGTAGTAGTACTAGTAGTACTACTAGTAATGGTAGTAGTCGTCGTAGTAGTCGTAGTAGTCGTAGTACTCGTAGTAGTCATAGTCGTAGTAGTCATAGTCGTAGTAGTAGTAGAAGTAGTAGTAGTAGTAGTAGTAGTACCAGTACCAGTACCAGTAGTAGTAGCAGTAGTAGTAGTAGTAGTAGTAGTAGTAGGAGTAGGAGTAGGAGTAGTAGGGGTAGGAAAACATAAAAACAATATCATAATCCTCCTCCTCCTCGTTCTCCTCATAGTCCCGTTACTCCGCCTTCTCCAGTCCCCCCCTCCGAGCAGGAAGGGAAAACCGGGCAACTACATGGCCCTGACCCCTTGACGCAAGGCGGAGGCTGGCGCGGAACGGCGGCGCGCCGATGCTGGCGGTGGGACACATCGTCGACTCCTCCTCGGTGCCCCGCTGCTGCCTGGCGGGCCGTAACGCGGCTGCGCTGCACCCCCCGTCCCCCTCCTCCTCCTCCTCCTCCTCCTCCTCCACCACATACGCGTCCTCATTTCCTTCCACGCTCACCCCCTCCTCCCCAATTTCGCGTTGCGTTCTTCAAGTGATCAGGCACACGATAATTTCAGACAACCTTCCTTGGCTCCTGCCCCTGCTCTACTTCTCATTGTTCCTCCTCCTCATCATCGTCATCATCATCATCATCAAAATCGTCATGTTACTCGTATTCGAATGTATCAACGTCATCGCTATCATATCCGTAATCACCAAAACCGCGAAGCGCAAGAACCGCCCCAAAACGGCCCAAGACGCGACAAAGGGGCCCCACGACCCAAGAGGCCCCCAAGAAGCTCCGCACAGGCCCAGAGGAAACCGCCCAAAGGCCCCCACAGGCCCCTGGGAGTCCCCGCAACGACTGGGCTGCACGTGTTTTCCACCTGCGCACTGCACGCATCGATTGCAATCTCCGCATATGCGATGCGAATACCCGGATGACACGCGACAGCATGGCGCCATCTTTCTGTCCGACCCGCTTCCTAACAACGACACGATAAGCGGCCGCGACGACAGACCCGCGCTCGACGCAGCTCGTGCAAATGACGAGACCATCCCCGACGCAGAGCCTTCTCGTGTGTTTCAACTCCTGGGGACCATGACGGCCCGATTCCCAAACTGCCCCAAGACGGCCCCAGAGGCCCCAAGGGGGGGCCCCGAGACTGCCCCGAGGGCCGAAGGGGACACTGAGAGAACGGCCCAGGACGCCTCCAAGAGGCCACGAGAAGCCCCCAAGAAGCCCCGAAGAGGCTCCAAGAGGCCTCCAAGAGGCCTCCAAGAGGTCCCCAGAAGGCCCAAAGAGGCCCCAACAAGTCCCCACCAGGCCCCACAACGACTCGAATGAACCTGCTGCCGGACGTCCACCCCGCGAAGCGAGAGGAAGCCACGGGACCCACAAAGTTTCATGACCCGCTAGAAAATTGATTCGCGGAGTGCCATCCCACACACACACACACACACAGACACACACACACACACACACACGCACACACACACACAAAACAGACTGCGAATAACGCGGTCTGAACTCGAAAGGAAGTGGATGACAGGTGCCGAGAGGTAGAAAGCACAGGCGCCCATGACAGAGAGGTATGACAAGCCGTCGAAACCAATACGATGAACGCACCCGGAAACGACGGGCAGACAGGTGGGTAAGAGACCCACGGAGCCGAAGGCCCGCGGCGGAAGAGGGGGCCCCGTTTCTCCCCCATTCCTGCTGGCCAGAACCAACGGTGGGCCACCTCAGCCCCCAAGCGACTCTGAGGTACGGCTGACGGACAACATCCTGTACTGTGTTTAATTTTCGTGTTCGCCCCCCGCGCCCCCAATGTACATTGGCAGGCTGTGGCGCGATTTGTCGATCCGCTGACTGGCCTAAATCCTGCACCCCGCGGGCGCAGCCAATCAACACTGAATCGGGGGCAGGGGGGGCGCGTGGAAGTTTGTGCCGTCGCCCCGTGTTGCGCGGCTGGTGCGAGACTTGGCCCATTAACCGCAGACCCTGCGAAATGCTTAAGAAATCATGGGTTAAGAAATTCATAGTCTCAGAATTTGAATAAAAACCCAGAACGTCTATTCAAATCTCAGGATTTACATTGAAACATTAAGAATGAACGAGACTCTGGCCGAAAACTTGGGTTTTCTTAAGCATCGCCTAGGGTGTAGACCCAGGCGCTGATCCTGGAGGCTTGCGCTCAAGCGTGGGTCTCCCACCTGGGCGGCTCGGCAGCGCAGCAGGGCGTCGGGGTGCAGACCTCCGCGTTTCCGCGGTGCCCGACTGCGCAGGCACTGCCGACTGGTGCCCCAGCCGAGCGTGCAGCCTCGGGAGAGGGCATCAGGCTGGGCAGCAATCGAGCGAGTGCCCCTCTCGGCTCCTAAGTGCGTCGATCCTTATCATCAGCAGCAGCGATAGCAACAGCCTCGCCGCCATCGTGAATAGCAACAGACTTCTTTTAAACATGGCCACGATGATCAGAATAAACATACGAAGGAACGTCATGCTTACCAATATAGCAATCAAGATCGTCATCATTCGATACCATCAACATGATCATCGTCAACAGCATCGTCAACACAACCACCTTGACCACCCTCACAATCGTCGTCATCACCATGCCCATTATCAATATCATCATCATCAGCTGCATCATCACCACCATCATCAACATCATCACCAGCAACAACAACACAATCAACACCATCAGCATCACCATCAATATCGCCGTCGTCGCCGTCATCATCGGCGTTGTCATCACCCTTACCCCCAGCATCACAATCACCGTCATCGGCATCCCCGTCAGCATCGACAACATCATCATTGACATCACCACCACCAACATAATCATCATCATCATCCGTGCCACCCTCCTCGCCATCATGTTCAGAACTATCAGCATCATCCTCATCATCGTGATGATGATGTTCAGACTCATCAGCAGCAGCATCAACAACAACCTCATCATCATGAGCAGCAGCAGCAGCACCATCAGCATCAGCATCAGCATCGCCGCCGCCGACGTCATCATCGGCGTTGTCATCATCCTTACTACCATCATCACAGTAACCATCATCAGCATCCCCGTCAGCATCGGCAGCATCAACATTGGCATCACCACCACCACCATCATAACCATCATCACCATGACCACCCTGCTCGGTACTATCAGCATCATCATCAGCATCATCAGTATCATCAGCATCATCATCATCATCATCATCATCATCATCACCGTGATGATGATGATGATCGTCATCATCATGACCATCATCATCACAATCAACGTCGACATCGTCATCATCATCAGCAGCATCAGCAGCAGCATCATCATCAGCAACAGCCGCATCATTATCATCATCATCCTCATCGGCAACATCATCGTCATCAGCATCGTCATCATCATCGGCATCATCGTAATCGACGTCGCCGTCGTCTGCGTCATCATCATCATCATCATCATCATCATCATCAGCATCATCATCATCATCATCATCATCATCATCAGCATCATCATCATCATCATCATCCTCTCATCATCATCAGCAGCACCATCATAAGTATTAGCATCATCATCAGCATCAGTATCATCGTCATCATCGGCAGCAACAGCATCATCGTCATCGTCATCGTCATCGTCATCGGCAACAGCAGCATCGTCTCCATGACCGTCGTCATCTCCATCAGCAGCATCAGCAGAATCATCTCCGCCTCCCCGTCCTCCTCCTCCTCCTTCGCCTCCCCCGCCGCCTCTGCCTCGTGCCCTTTCTCATCCCTCCTGCTCCTCCTCACCTGAAGGGGCACTGGGACACACAAATAAACAGACACAAATAACAGGATTCCCTATATCTTCATACATTTTCTGGGTTTCTGTATTCCCCCCCACTTCCCATATTTTCGCATACTTTCATTGGAATCGACGATTCATTGTGTCTGCGTGTTTCTTGTCCTCCTGCACCCCCCCTCGCCCCTCCCGGCTCGCCCCGTCGCCCTCGCGCCCCGCACCTTGGCCCCTCGACAGGCCACGCAGCCTCGCACCCCCCTCCACCGCCGCAACGGCAGCAGGCCCGGGCCCCTGCTGCGAGAGGGGTCGGGCGGGCCGCGCCTCAACACGGCCAGCAGGCGGGAGATGTGCTGGTCCTGCGCGGGGCTCTCGGCCAGCGCCACGGGTGGGCGCAGAACGTGTGCCAGCGCCAGCGTGTGCTTGTCCGCCGACGCCCTCCAATACGACGCAGGCGGTGCTACGATGGCCGGCACAGGCACAAAGGGGCATCACACACACACACACACACATCTGGGACGTCCTGGGGATCATCGCGAGAAGCAGGCAACGTCAGCGATGCCTCGGCGCCGCCAGCGTGGAGCCCGCCTTTCGGGGCGCCTCTCTGGTGTCTCCGGGCGCGCCCCGGCAGAGGCCCCCGGAGGCACTGAGGGGCCAGTCGCCCGACTCCCTCGAGGCGCGCCGCCTGGCGCGCGGGCAACGGGCACGTTCGTGCCTGAACGGTCTTTTCTTGTTTTCCACCGCAGCAGTGGCAGTGACGGGCTCATCACAAAAGATGACTGCCACCACGTGTCTGAGCTCCTCGACTTATCCGCGTCCAGGCCCAGGAGATCGTTGAGAGCCCGTGTCTCAGCGGTCTCCCAGTTCTTGACGAACGAGCAAGACACACTCATACCCATAAGGGGGACGGAGGGAACTGTGGGTAAGTGTTGTCGGATGGAGGCCCCCACTCGAACGAAAACCTCCCTGGGGATCCGACAACCCGCATCTATACCCATAACAATGCGGGCGCGGCCGCAAGAAACCCTCGCAAGAAACCCAACCCTGAGAACCCGTCCGCGAGGTGCACATAAGGGGAAACCCGGAGCACCCTGAACGCAACAGCTCCTTCAACGGCTGCGGGAAAGTCGCCGCGCAGCGCGAGGAGCGAAGAAACCCAGGATACCCTGACGAAAAGCATATGGTTTCTTGATGCGCGCCCCCACCGTAGCCAGTCCTCATGCCTCCAACCCCCCATAGGTGCATGGGTGTGCTTGTGTCTCGTTCTGGACGCCGAGACACGACGTGTCCACGCCCTCTTCGGGTCCGGACGCTGAGAGGCGCGCTCCCGTGGGCACGCGGCCCGGCGGCTGCGCCCCCCGCGGCTGCGCCCCCCGCGCAGGGGGCAGCCGCGCATGGGGCGCCCTGTGTTCTTCGGGCCGCGGCCGCGAAGTCCAGACCATGGGGCCCAGAGTACACTCGGACCTAGGCCAGAAGAACATCCTTCGAGAACAAGCAGGACGTCCAAGGATACCCTGCCAGGATGCACAAGAGCATCCAACAAACACGAAGAGAACTAGGGTACCCTCCCCGAACATACATCGATCTTATAGCTCGGTCCGACTGTGCGGACGTGCCATCCCCCCCTACGAGCAGGTGGAGCAGGCTGGTGCAGAGGAACACACGGCGGCACAAATATCGTTTCTCGGCGAAAGAGGCGCTGCCAAGAGGACCCGGCGCCGATCCCAGAAACGGGCGCGGAAATCCGAGAAAAGATGTTTTGGCCGCTGGGCTGCTCCCCTCCCGTGCGTTTCGGCACATGCTCGTCGAATTCCGAACGAAACCCACGCCACCCATCGAGTTGCCTGAACCATTGATTGGCGCCAGGGCAGAGTTCGGATTTCGCCGCCGAGCTTCGATGGCGGTGCCCGCCAGATCCCCCCACCTGGCGTCCTTGAGCTCCAGCTGCCTCTCCTTCTCCACCAGCTGAGCCCTGCGCGCCGCGGCAACAGCATGCGCCCCTGGGCCTCCTATCCCCGACCCTGTTCTTCCTCCCCCTCCTCTTCCTGCTCGTCCTCCTCGTCCTCTTCCTCCTCCTCCTCCGCATCGTCCGCGTCCTCAGCATCAGCATCACCATCATCATCATCATCATCATCATCATCATCATCATCATCATCATCATCAGCAGCAGCAGCATCATCATCATCATCATCAGCATCATCATCATCATCATCATCATCATCAGCATCATCATCATCAGCATAAGCATAAGCATCAGCATCAGCATCATCATCATCATCGTCATCATCATCATCATCCTCCTCCTCCTCCTCCTCATCATCATCATCATCATCATCATCATCATCATCATCATCATCGTCATCGTCATCGTCATCGTCATCATCATAATAATCCTCCTCATCCTCATCAGAAACATCAGCATCAGCAACGGCAACATCATCATCAGCACCATCATCATAAGCATCATCATCACCATCATCATCAGCATCATCATCAACCTCAGCATCAGCCTCATCATCATCAACAGCATCAACATCATCAGCATCATGACCGTCATCATCATCAGCATCATCATCAGAATCATCATACTCAGCATCACCATCGGCATCATTATCATCATCAGCAGCATCTACATCATCATCAGCATCATCAACATCATCAGCAGCAGCATCAACATCAGCATCCTAGTCAGCATCATCAGCATCATCATCAGCATCATCATCATTTCCAGCATCGTTCTCATCCTCATGCTCATCCTCATCAGAATCATCGTCACCATCGGCAGCATCATAATCATAGTCAAAGGCATCATCAGCGTCAGCAGCATCATCATCATCAGCAGCAGCATCACCATCATCATCGTCGGCACCATCAACATCACCAGCATTATCATCATCAGTAACATAATAGTCATTACAATCATCACCCTCATCGTCAACATCGACATCATCATCATACTCATCCTCATCCTCCACCTCCTCATCATGGTCGTCATCATTATCGTCCGCCTCGTCATCAGAATGATCATCTTCATCAGCATCATCATCATCATCATCATTAACATCATAATCACCATTATCCTCCTCATCCTCATCATCATTCATATCATCATCCTCCTCATCATCCTTATCATCATGATTCTCATCATCATCATCATCATCATCATCATCATCATCATCATCATCATCATCATCGTGCTATTCGCGTTTAATTCACTGCGGCGTCGTGCCTCAGTGGCCTCGGGAATCAGGAGAAGAAGCGAAGGAGAGAAGGAGGGAAGGAGGGGTGGATTGACCACCCTCGAGCTCATGCGTATTCCGAATACTGACAGGCCCACGGCGATGACGATCTAAGGAATGTGCTGTCAGAAAGTGGGCGAATCCGTAAGATCGGCACGGAAACGAGGCGATATCATTCTCAAGGATAGAAATACGTATGCTGCAAGCTGCTAATGGATGGAGAGGCGAAGGAACAGAAGACGTTCGACCTCTGTCACACCATCTGGGGAGGGAAAACCATCAGGTACCGATACCGCTACTCACTGGACCTCTCCCGGGGTGCATTCTGACGAGGAATTCCACGCGAATCCAGCGGTGGCGACGAGGGCCTCCCAGGAGGCCCAAAGAGGGGAAAACGGCCCATCCTCCTCCGACCATCAGGACGCCATCAGGACGCCATCGGGGTACCACCAGGACACCGCGCCCGCCGCCCGCCTGTGCCGCAGGTCGGGGGGAGGAAGACGGCGTTCCCCTGCCGTCCACCGGCGAGGCGGGGATTTATCCATACCCACCGCCTGGGGACCGACGTCCTGGCGCCCCAGCGGGCGGTGGATATGGATATATATATATATATATATATATATATATATATATATATATATATTTCGGCCCCCGGGGGCCCGAATATGTCCATATCCACCGCCTGCCGACGCTCCGATTCCAGGCGGTGGTCGTGCACAAACTCCCGCCTCGGGCCGGCAACCTGGGTAGCTCGAGGACACCTTCGCACGGACGTCGCTCTCGGCACGGACTGCGATCCTCCGGTGGTGGGGGGCACGCCGGAGCCTTCCCACCCCCCTCCCCCTGGCCAGTGCAAGCGGCCGTCGGCGTGCGACTCCGAGAGGGCGGCGCTGAAATGCCCTCCGAGCGCAAGTGCAAGAGCAACTGTCGTTTGCACGCCTGTGCGAGCGCGTGAGCACACCGTGTCCCCGGCCCCTGTCCGAGCATACTGGATGTGCGAAACAGAACCACTGCACAAGGACAAGTGTGAGCGAGGAGTGCGAGCGGGGCAAGGCAAGCCGAGCACTGCAGGTTGGACGCTCCGAACGGAGCAACGCAGAGCACACTGGAACGCTGCACGTGGAATCTTGCAAAACAAGCGCCAATGCGACAAGCCTTGCAGGCACACCCTTCCGCCTGTACTCAACAGGGAGGTGCATCATCGCAGATTTCAATGGCACGCAGAGCGTCACAGGAAGAGTGTGCGCTCGGCACTGGCTCTTCTGCATGAGAAACAAGCCTGACCCCATCATGATGGCCTACTGTGGGTGACACTTGGAATCAAGCAGGAGGAACGCGGCATTGGCGGTCGGCGTTGAGCAGCGTGGGCCGCGCCTGTATGATCTGCACCGCTGGTCCTTGAGGGAAGGTCAACAGAGAACAATGAGGTGGTGTAGACAGAGAACCAGACAGAGGGAGAGAGAGAAATAGAGACAGAGAGAAAGAGAGAGAGAGAGAGAAAGAGAGAGGGAACGGCATGCAGAGAGAGGATACGTAAAGCAGAAGGAGAGGAATGGAGCAGAAGAAGGAAGAGGAAGGAGAGGAATGGAGCAGAAGAAGGAAGAGGAAGGACACGTTGAAGGAGGATGAGAGAGAGAGAGAGAGAAATAGAGTGTCAAGGTGGCCAGGGGCATGAATGACGAGGCGGGCGAAAGCCGCCATGGTCACGAGAGGGGATCGAAGGAAGCCCCCAGAAAAGACGAGGCGGCGTCAACACTGGATCATCCCCCACCTCCTCCGCTGGATCATCCCCCACCTCCTCCTTCACTCGATCATTCAAGCATGGAGGGCGCGACTGTTGAAGCCCACCCGGGAGCATGATCAGGAAGCGACAGGATGAATCAGAACGAGCACACCCGAGCCATCGAAGCTGCCCCTCCTCCTCATCCTCCTCGTGTGTCGTCGTCCTCCTCCCGTTCTTCCCTCCTGGTTTCTCCCCTCCCCCTCCTCCCTCCACATTATTCCTCCACCTCTTCGTCACCGGCAACATCCCCAACATGCCTTGTGCACATTGGGGCGTGGAAGAATGCCAAGGTCTGCCTGGCAGGGCTTTTACAAGTCTAACAAGGGCCCCCCCTCCTGTGGTAGCACACTGCTGCCTGCATCCCCCCTACTCACCGAGGCCACTCCCCTCGCGCCTGCTCGAAAATGATGCACTTCCAGCATGGCAACTGATGCCCACCCCCCCTTCCACGCATACTCGCTAGAGGATTGTTCCCTTCCCGAAGATCAGCTAATGCCAGAACCCCCCCTCCTCACGTGCCCACACGAGGATGATACACTTCCGGCATGGCAACGAATGCCTCACCCACCCTTCTACGCGTGCCAGCTCGAGGATGGTGCACTTCCCGCACGGCAGCTAATGCCTGAACACCCCTTCTACGCGTGCCCGCCCGAGGATGGTGCACGCCCCGCATGGCAGCGAATGCCTGAACCCGCATTCCATGCACGCCCGCTCGGAAATTGAACATTTTCCGCATGATTGCTATCTCCTAAAGTCATTTGATCCCACGCGCACCCGTGCGAGGACGGTGCACGCCCCGCATGCCTAGGCGCTGCTCCCAAGTGTTCCAGGCACCAATACGGCCCAAGAGGGCACTCTGTGGGACCAAAGACGGCCTTAGAAAGCCACTGGAAGGCCAGTGGACGGCACAAAGCGGCGCCAAGACGGTCCCACGATGACCCCCAGGCACCCACCGTACGATCGTGAGGGCCCCCGAAAGGCTCAATCGACCCCCAAGCGAGCCTGACGGGCCCCAAGACGGCACAAGAGGCACTAAGGGGCCCCAAATAGTATTTCACGGGAGAACAGCACATCCCCATGGAGACCCAAACGAGTTTCACCACCACAATGATCAGCACCGTCATCGTCACCACCACTAGCATACATCGCACCATCCCTATCAGCATCAGCATCATCATCACCACCACCACCACCATCCTGATCATCATCATCATCATCATCATCATCATCATCATCATCATCATCATCATCATCATCAGCAGCAGCAACAGCAGCAGCATGATGAATGCGACCACCGCAACCAGAATCACAACCACCATCATCCGCACCATCAACATCAGTTTTATCATCATCCTCACAAGCATCAACTTATCATCACCATCGCCATCACCATCAACAACAACAACAACAACATCACCACCAACATCATCGTCATAACCTTATCTACCATCACCATCATTATCACCAACCGCATCATCAACATCCCCATCACCATGGCCATCATAATCCGGTTCGGTACTGTTGCCATCATCACCATCACCAAAATCATGACTAACCGCAATGTCATCTCAATCAGAATCACCAACCCCGTCATCACCATCATCGTCATCACCGACACAAGCACCACCATCAAACATCATCATCGTCATCGTCCCCATCCCCATTACCGTTACCACGGCCCTACCAAGCCTAGGGACACAACGGTCCCACGTGACGGCATCCCTTACCCAATCGAAAACCCAACACCCAGAGCGCTGGACTGGCACAGTGGCGGAACCTGCCGCAAGCAGTTGGAAAAACCTTCTGAATAACAAGAATGGGCACCACAACCACCACCACCACAGCGACCTTGCTACGATGTGTTCGCCGTTGTCGTCATCATCAGAAGCATCAGCACCACCAGCAACACCAACAAGACCACTACCACAATCACCGCCATCATCGTAAGATCCTGATCATCACCATCACCATCGTCACCCGATCAATAATCACGAGCGTCGCAAACATCATCGCCACTGTCATACCACCTACAGGCAACATCAGCACCAACATCATCGTCAACATTATCAGCGTTACCCCCTGCACCACCACCGTAAACGTCAACGTCAGCACCATCACTCCAGCGATATCACCACAACGAGCATCAGCATTATCAATACGAACTGCATCCCCACCATCATCACCATCACAGCGAAACAAGATCAGCAACAGCTACAACATCATCACTATTATCAGCATCGCCACCGTACTCGTCGTCACCATCGCCAGCAGCATAACCCTCAACCTAATCGCCCCTAGGGGCGGCAACATCGTCAGCACCGGCACCAAAAGCAGCAAGATCAACATCAACACCTTCGTCATCACTATCATACCCATCCTCATCATCAGAGGAAAAGAAGCATCATCGCCATCATCAACAGCAGCGCCACCAATACCATCAACAATATCAACAGTTCACCCATATCATCCGCATCATCATCATCATCATCATCATCATCATCATCACCAACAGCATCATCACAGCCGTCCTCCTGGGGCGTAGCCGAGGAGAGAATCCCACGATGACCAACGTCAGCTTGAACACCGCACCCGCGCCAGGGTCGAGCGAACAACAGATGGGTCAGAGGAAACGGTGAGAAGGCGAAAGGGGGCGCGGCTCCGAAGAGACCCAGAGATCGGGCGCACCGCGCGGCAAAAACTGTTCATGCGAACTACTGCGCGAACGATTTCGCGAGGCAGGACCACCTGTCCCGGCCCTGGGGCACTGCAATCCAGCTGCAACGTCCGTCCGTCGCACAGAAACGCCTCATCTGGTCTTCCCACTTCATGCTCCTGACGCAGGATGGTCCCAGCCGTCGTTCCTCGCGCCCTGGGCCCACTCGGAAACCCTCCAGAACGTCGTTGTCCATGCCCGCGACGCTCTGGTCAATCTCCAAACGCGCCCCGCCCACAACCATCTCCTCCAGGCCTGCGCTTCTGGCCACCTTCGCAATGCCGCGGCCCGCGCTTTGCCTTGCGCCTTGTTCGACGCCCGCCAGGCGCACTCGCGCCCTCTGGCGCGCGCTGGAGGCCCCGAATCTGGCGCCGCGTCTAGTCCCGCGCAACTGACAAAAAGCGGATATCCGCCGCGCGCGGCGCCTAGGGGTTCGAGCCTTACAGAAGACATGCACCGCCAGTTGCGTCAGTCGACGAGGCCCACGTCTGCGAGATCTGGGCCGCATCACCCGCGAATGCAACATGCGCGAGGCGCCGCCCATTCAGCGCCTGGCCGACTTTGGCGCCACAGCCGCGCCGCTGCCCAGACGCAGCTCGCTTCGTCTAGAATCTGCGCCATGACCAAATTGATCAGAATTGGCAACAGTGGGGCCCCCCGCCGGACGCAGCGCTGCCCTCTGAATCGCCTGTTGCCCGACCCAGGGGGCACCTGGGCGCGGGCGAACACGTCTCGATGCAACGCCCAGAATGCATTGTCACACTGGTCCACGTTCGCTGCCGCGAAGGCCTCGAAGAGCTGCGCGAAGTGAACTCTGTCGAATGCTTTCTCGACGCCCAACGAAGCCACCCACGGTTCCTTGCCCCGCCCCGTTTTGACTTCTCCACCAGCGCGCCCGGCGCGCGCAAGGCGTCGTCGCAGCCTCTGCCGCGTGGGAAACCATACTGCTCTTCACTATATCTCTGATCGACCCGGTCTGGGACGCGCCAGCATCGCGCAATTCTGAAAAGCATTGCCAGCGCAGGAATGATATCGGCCCCCATGCTTTTCAAATCGCTTCGCAAACCTTTATGGGCGCGACAGACAACCGCCCGACATTCCAGTCGCGCGGAGGGCCCATGGCGCCGGCCAGCACGTCTGCGAAGCAGGGTGACAAAACGCCCATCAGCCCGTCATGCCCCGCCATCAACATCTCCTTGGCGAGCCCGTCGTCGGCCCTTGAAATGCCGGCCATGATGGCGCGCTTGATGCCGCGACCTGCGACGCCGTGATCTCGCTCTTTTCTTCTGTCATGACTGAGGATGGTCCTCCCCATCGTCTGGGGTGGCCCCCCCCCGCGCGTGGTGAACGTAGCCCCCCCCCCTCCTCCTCATCCTCCTCCTCCTCCTCCCTCCTCCTCCTCCTCCTCCCTCCTCCTCCTCCTCCTCCTCCTCCTCCTCCTCCTCCTCCTAAGTCTACTACTACTACTACTACTACTACTACTACTACTACTACTACTACTACTACTACTACTACTACTACTACTACTACTACTACGACTACTACTACTACTACTACTACTACTACTACTACTACGACTACTACTACTACTACTACTACTACTACTACGACTACTACTACTACTACTACTACTACTACTACTACTACTACTACTACTACTACTACTACTACTACTACTACTACTACTACTACTACTACTACTACTACTACTACTGCTACTACTACTACTACTACTACGACTACGACTACGACTACGACTACTACTACTACTACTACTACTACTACTACTACTACTACTACTACTACTACTACTACTACTACTACTATTACTACTACTACTACTACTACTACTACTACTACTACTACTACTACTACTACTACTACTACTACTACTACTACTA